ACGTCTGTACGTCTGTGTGTGTGTATGTCTGTATGTCTGTATGCCTGGATGTCTGTGTGTCTGTATGTCTGTATGTCTGTATGTCTGTATGCCTGGATGTCTGTACGTCTTTACGTCTGTGTATGTCTGTATGTCTGTATGCCTGGATGTCTGTACGTCTGTACGTCTGTACGTCTGTGTATGTCTGTATGTCTGTATGCCTAGATGTCTGTACGCCTGTTTGTCTGAGTATGTCTGTGTGCCTGTATGTCTGTGTGTGTGTATGTTTGTATGTCTGTATGCCTGGATGTCTGTGTGTCTGTATGTCTGTGTGTCTGCATGTCTGTATGCCTGGACGTACAGTATGTCTGTGTGTCTGTATGTCTGTATGTCTGTATGTCTGTATGCCTGGATGTCTGTACGTCTGTACGTCTGTGTGTGTGTGTATGTCTGTATGTCTGTATGCCTGGATGTCTGTATGTCTGTATGTCTGTATGTCTGTATGCCTGGATGTCTGTACGTCTGTACGTCTGAGTATGTCTGTGTGTCTGTATGTCTGTATGTCTGTATGATTGTATGCCTGGATGTCTGTACGTCTGTACGTCTGTGTGTGTGTGTATGTCTGTATGTCTGTATACTCTGTATGTCTGCATGTCTGTATGTCTGTATGTCTGTTTGTCTGTATGTCTCTTTGTCTGTATGTCTGCATGTCTGTACGTCTGTATTCTGTATTCTGTATGTCTGTATGTCTGTTTGTCTGTATGTCTGCATGTCTGCATGTCTGTACGTCTGTGTATGTCTGTATGTCTGTATGTCTGTATGCCTGGATGTCTGTACGTCTGTACGTCTGTGTATGTCTGTATGTCTGTATGTCTGTATGCCTGGATGTCTGTGCGTCTGTACGTCTGAGTATGTCTGTATGTCTGTATGTCTGTATGCCTGGATGTCTGTGTGTCTGTATGTCTGTATGTCTGTATGTCTGTATGCCTGGATGTCTGTACGTCTGTACGTCTGTGTATGTCTGTGTGTCTGTATGTCTGTATGTCTGTATGTCTGATGCCTGTATGCCTGTATGTCTCTACGTCTGTATGTCTGTCTGTCGGCATGAAGATGCAGGCCACCACCTGGGACTTGGGCCTTGGATCCAAGAGAGGACCCATCACTGCCTAGTTGTTACTTTTTTGGATGGACCCGTGTGGTTTTTGAAGGACACCAAAACTCAGTTGCCCAAAGGAGCCAGAAGTAGAAGGTTAAGCTTTGAGGGCCCATGATGAAAAATGGACCCAAAAAAGAAAACAACCAAAGGGTCAACAGGTCGCTTCGCTTCGGAGGCGGGAAAAGGAAACCCATTCTGGCGGATAATAACTCTGGGACACCGATCCGATCCCGTTCGACGGGAAGGTGGCCGAGTCGCGGAAAGAACTTGGGCCAGCTCTTGCCAACCATAGCACTGTTCCTTCACAGGTAGTGGTTGGGGGCCCTGAAATATAGCAAGAACACCCTTCTGGTACAAGTCGTATTAACAAACTCCCTTTAAGAGATCCGGATTCCCACAAAAAAGAACACACACACACACCCTTTTGGTTTGCCTTCGGGCAAGGTTCGGGTCGAGTTGTTGTTCCAGTTGAGTGCCCGGGCGAGCCGGCTCGAAATCATTTTTCAGAAAATTTGCCCTCGCACCTGGCACCTCTCAACAAGAAGTCATGGAGCAGTTCAGCTGAAACCATTGATGGGATGCATCCCTTCCCTTCTGAAAGCACCCTCCAAATTCCCCCCAATTTTGGGACATCCCAAAGCAACTCTTGCAGCGCCCCCCAACAAAACATGTTTGCACCATCCTGCTTCATTCCCCGCTGCTCAGTTACTCATCCCGACTCATCCCCAAAAAACTGGCCAGCTATGCCTTTTCGCAGGTCTGGCCAGTGACCAAAACCGGTCCCGTCCTCCGCATGCACCGCTACTTTCTCCAAGAAGAGCTGCTTGAGATGACCATCCAGCAGGGTGACAGCGTTGCAGAGGCTCGTGACGCCTACCAGGGCGAAGCAAAACCTTCGGGCGTTCCAAATCTAGGTCCTCCAGTAGAGAGGTTAGAATAAGTTGGTACCCGATTGTTCTTCTGTAGTCTAATTTAGTACGGGAACCCTCCCCCAAAAAAGAAACGGTACAAGGGCACTACTGGAAAACCTAGAAATGGGCGTCCCCGGTGAGTTTGGAGCATGGGCCGTCGCCCAGCTGAGCTGGGACGCCCTGGATCAATCGATCGACCGGATGGCGGAAGGTCCCCATGGCTCCGACTGGAGTTGGCCCGGAACGCAGGGAAAACTTGCCAAAGCCATCCACTGAGACTCAAAAAAGCATTCCGTGACACGAGCATCGGATTCGGGCTGGTCTTTGACCCCCAAAAGTTAACAAGGTTCCGAGTAGAAAGCTGTCATGGTCCAACGGTTGAAAGACGACCCAAGCAGAAGCCCGAATCAGCAAGGCGGTTGGAAAGGATCCATCACAGCAAGTTCCTGTGGAACTCACCCAGCAAGTTGTGCGTGAGCCACGATCAACATCCGCGGCCTCATAAGGAAAAGGACATGCAAAATCAATTGAGTCTCCCAGCTTTGTGGTTGCGATTTAGTGAGTCTCCCCCCCTTTACCCCCAAATGAATCATGGAGCAGATATGGGTATGGGTCAAAATTAAACCAGGGGACCACAGGATTTAGTCTTTGTTTCCATTTACCAAAGTTTCATTCTGGGTACCTATATTTTGACCCACTCCCATATTTTGCCTCACATCAATCCCCCCACCCTGCGGCGAGAAGAGGTGCAAGTGGTCCTCGCCAAAGATGGCGACGGACGTCACAAAGGCCTGCGGCACAGGCAAAGCCCAGAATCGGGGGCCATGGTCTTGCACACCAATGAACCCCCTGGAGCCCTGGTGAAGAGTAGGTGGCACTAAAAATAAAAATAAAAATAAAACAGTGCCACCTCTATTCAATAAGCACGCCTTGAGTTTGCAGATTGACAAATGTGGTGCGTTGCGCAACCAGCGGATGTAAGCCCACGAGCCCATGGCTTCTCCATGCTATCCGACATCATGAACTTCACTACGAACACAATGAGAACAAGCAAACCCAAAAAAAAGTGTCAGAATGGGGAGACCCCAAAAAGGGATGGTGGTTTGGTGGTGAACCTCATTTACCCCCTGAACCAGGGGTTCGAAAACCACCGAGCTCCAAACTGACAAAAGTCCAGTGATAGATTCCCTTTGAAGCCAACAAGGGAAAATATAAAATATTCATTTCAGCAAATGGAAGTAGGGATTCCCCGAAGGCTGGCGTTCCTTTTGGTTGGCCCTTTAAACCAACCTACAAGCTTGGTTCCCTTGAAGCCTCGCCTGACCGTCCTCCCCGCTCAGCTTCATGGAGTGCACGGCAAAAGCGATGTCTGCCAACGCCTGCGAGGGGAAGTCCAGGGGAAACAACCGAAAAAGGCCGCTGAATTGAACAAGAGAGCGTCCCACTGAAACGGAAAACATCCCAGCTTCTTGGAGTCACGTCAAAAAGAGAGCACCAGGAAATGGAAGGTGGTTTTGGAATCACCTGAACTGTCCTTGGAAAGGTGCGCAAAAGAGTGCGAGAAAAGAGTGCTAACAGAGTGCAAGCCCCAGTCAACAAGACTCTCAGCTGAAGGCTCTTCACCAGACTCTGAGTCGGTAAGCTCGCTGTACTTTGTGTCCACCGACCATCGCGGTTGGAATTCGGGCTTCACATTCTCTATTTCCCAAAAAAGGTGACAAGGTAACTATCCTTTGGAACTTGCAGATGTTATCGGAGCGGGCAGCACAAGAGAATGGTCAACCAAACTCACCAGGCCGATGCGGCTGCGAATGCAAACATAGGTTCCGCACCCTTTGGCGGGGACTCATGTGAGTCACAATCAAAACCTGGTATTAAACTGTTCTACCCAGCGCCATGTAAAAAAAAAATAGAAGGCGGCCGCAGCTATTTCTGGTTGGGATCGTCCCTTGCTAGGCACTTCATCTGCCCGGGGCATGATTGTGACTCATGTCCGCCCACCGCTATTTTGACGGGGGGGCGGGGGTGGGGGTGAAACCCCCCTATAACCCCCAACCCCCCAATAAGCTCAACAACCCCCCCAACCCCCCCGAACCCCCCCGAACCCCCCCGAGACCCCGAACCCCCCCCCCCCCGAATGGGGCGGCCCCCCCGAACCCCCCCGAACCCCCCCGAACCCCCCCGAACCCCCCGAACCCCCCGAACCCCCCCGAACCCCCCCGAACCCCCCCCGAACCCCCCCCCCCCCCCGAACCCCCCACCCCCCCCGAACCGCCACCCCCCCCGACCACCCCCCCGACTCCCCCACCCCCCGCAAACCCCCACCCCCAATCCCCCCAGCGCGCTCTGCCCACCCCCCCCCCCCCAACCCCCCGCCCCCCCCCCCCCCCCCCCCCCCGAACCCCCCCGAACCCCCCCGAACCCCCCCCCCGAACCCCCCCCCCCCCGAACCCCCCCCCCCCGAACCCCCCCGAACCCCCCCCGAACCCCCCCGACAACCCCCCCACCCCCCCGAACCCCCCGAACCCCCCCCCCGAACCCCCCCGACACCAACCGCCCCCCCCCCCGCCCCCCCAAAACCCCCCCCGAAAACCCCCCCGCAACCCCCCCGCCCCCCCCCGAACCCCCCCGAACCCCCCCGAACCCCCCCGAACCCCCCCCGAACCCCCCCGAACCCCCCCAAAAACCCCCCCGAACCCCCCCCGAACCCCCCCGAACCCCCCCGAACCCCCCCGAACCCCCCCGAACCCCCCCGAACCCCCCCGAACCCCCCCGAAACCCCCCGAACCCCCCCGAAACCCCCCCGAACCCCCCCGAACCCCCCCGACCCCCCCGAACCCCCCCGAACTCCCCCCAAAACAGCTCCGAACCGCGCCCCCGACGCCCCGCCCGAACCCCCCCGAACCCCCCCGAACCCCCCCGAACCCCCACACCCGAACCCCCCCGAACCCCCGACCCCCCCGAAACCCCCCGAACCCCCCCCCCCCCGAACCCCCCCGAACCCCCCCGAACCCCCAACCCCCCCGAACCCCCCCGAACCCCCCCGAAACCCCCCCCCCCCCCCGAAACCCCCCCCGAAACCCCCCCCGAAACCCCCCCGAAAACCCCCCCCGAAACCCCAACCCGAACCCCACCCGAAACCCCCCCGAAACCCCCCCGAAACCCCCCGAAACCCCTCCGAAACCCCCCGAAACCCCCCGAAACCCCCCGAACCCCCGAAACCCCCCGAAAACCCCCGACCCCCCGAACCCACCCGAACCCCCCCTAAACCCCCCCGAACCCCACCCGAACCCCCCCGAACCCCCTTAGAAGGAAAAACCCCCCGAACCGAACGAAAACCCCGCCCCGAACCCCCCAACCCCCCCCCCGAACCAAACCCCCAAAAACCCCGGCCCAACCCCCAAACCCCCAAAACCCCCAAACCCCCAAACCCACCCCCAAACCCCAAACCCCCAAAACCCAAACCCCCAAACCCCCAAACCCCCAAACCCCCAAACCCCCAAAACCCCCAAACCCCCAAACCCCCCCCCAAACCCCCAAACCCCCAAACCCCCAAACCCCCAAAACCCCAAACCCCCCAAAGCCCCCCAAGAGCCCCGAAGCCCCCCAAGCCCCCCCAAGCCCCCCAAGCCCCCAAGCCCCCCAAGCCCCCCAAGCCCCCCAAGCCCCCCAAGCCCCCCAAGCCCCCCAAGCCCCCCCAAGCCCCCCAAGCCCCCCCCCCCCCCCAGCCCCCCCCCCCCCCCCAACCCCCCCCCCCCAACCGCCCCCCCAAACCCCCCCCCCAACCCCCCCCCCACCCCCCCCAACCCCCCCCACCCCCCCCCCCCCCCCCCAAACCCCCCCCCAACGCCCCCCCCCGAACGCCCCCCACGCCCCCCCAAACGCCCCACCACCCCCCAACACACCCCCCAAACCCCCCAACACACCCCCCAACACACCCCCAACACACACCCCCCCAACCGCCCCAAAACCCCCCCAAAACACCCCCCAAAAACCCCCAAAAACACCCCCCAAAACTCACCCCCCCAAAACGCCCCCAAAACACCCCCCAAAACCCCCCCCCCCAAAAACCCCCCCAAAAACACCCCCCAAAACAACCCCCACACCAAAACCCCCCCAAAAAACCCCCCAAAACCCCCCAAAACACCCCCCAAAACACCCCAAAAAACCCCCAAAACACCCCCCAAAAACACCCCCAAAACACCCCCAAACCCCCAAAAACACCCACCAAAACCCACACCACCCCAAAACACCACCCAAAACCCCCAAAACACCCCAAAACACCCCCCAAAACACCCCCCAAAACACCCCCCAAAACACCCCCAAAACACCCCCAAAACACCCCCAAAACACCCCCCAAAACAGTTAGGGTAGGCCTTGCCCATCTTTTTGTGGTACCCGAGCGTGACCCCCACCCTACGCAACATCGGCATTGTTCAACCATTTTTTCACTATTCAAATCGTCATCCTTATTCATTATGCATATTTCCACTCAAAACATTTCATAACAGTCTCAACCTCAAAATCCATCAAAAAAGTTACATTTTCTCATTTTCTATTCCATCATTCTTGTCATTGTTAGGATGCTTGAGTGGAAATAGGAGTATAGGGTGATTCATATGATATGGTTATTGATGGTAGGATGCATGGGCAAGGTTAAGCTCATTCATTTAAAAAAAAAAAATGTTCAAAAAAATAATATTGTTCAAAAAATAATATTGTTCAAAAAAAAATATATTCAAAAAAAATGATATTTTCCAAAAATGATATTTTCCAAAAATGGTATTTTCCAAAAATGATATTTTCAAAAAAAAAATCGAAAAAATCAAAAATACTATTCCAAAAATTATGATAAATTATCTTACAATATGTTTATCACAAATTATGTAGAAATATTATGGGCAAGGTTAGGTAGATAGAATTTTATAACTTAAGTTCAGGATAATAATTCAATTGATGACCATTAAATTGTGTATATATCTTATCTCTTTCATGCATCATTTTAAAAATAATATTAATATCTCTCACGGTATTTTTCACATTAAACTTTTTTCCTTCAATATATGTTTTAATGTCTTCTTTTACATCAAACCCTTCCCTAAAATGACAAGTCAACATCCACAATATACCTTTAATCATTTCATATTTTTCTTACTGATTTTCAGAAATATTCTAACATAACTATAAGGTGGTATTTTATACACAGTTAAAAATATCAAAATGGCATCTTCAACATTTCTTTCATCTATTTTTTTAATCTCCAACATATTTTCTATTATATTTTGATATCGTCTCCATCTTCTACAAGTTCTACATTCGTCTTCTTTACCCAAAGCATAATCAATAATATTACTTACTATTCCATTCGGTAAATTCAATTTGTATAATTCCATATTTTCTTTTTTGAAGTGGCAACAGTCGTAGCATTTCTTATTGATATAATTATTGATTTCGGTTTCAACCATTTCTATTATAATATATATATAGTTTTTATTTCTTTAAATACTTTTTACAAGAAATATTAAATTATTATTTAAATTATTATCATTTACAACTACAATTGCACCTAACACAGTAAGGAATAATATTATTCAGTTCGTGCGATAACTCGTTTGATTTACGTTGCGCTGTTAGATTTGTCATTATATTTCCATTTTTCATATCCATAGAAAAACCGCATCCGCAGTAATTGCATTGATTATTTATATTGTCTAAAAACCACTGTGCATTTACATAACCTTCTTTAGGTATGGTTCTTTTTGCTTTCCTGTCCTGTTCCTTGTAGTTTAATATTTTTCTTTCAAAATAACTTAAAATACATTTTTGATTAAATACATCATCAATATCTTTCGTATATTTATAAAAATTGACTTTGTTTAAATCTCTACACCTTGTAATTGCTGTCCATATCCATTCTGGATAATCCTTTACCAAAAAATGATTATAATCAAAAATTGTTATGGTGTCATCAATGCTACTACCTTGAGCAGAATGACATGTAGAGCAATAAGCAAATATAAAATTGCTTCTTATTTTAGCAACTTCTACGGATTGTAAAATATCGGTTTTGACATTTTTTAATGTAAATATTCCATCGTTATCAATATGAACTATTTTATATTTGAAATTTACATTAAACACTGATGTTTTAGTTTTAGTATATTCCCTACATGTTAAAAATTCGCCTACTTCGTATTCATCTTTTCTATTTTCTAATTTTCTAATTTCATTTGAGACATTTTTACAAGTTGTATTTAAAAATGCTATGTTGTTGTTAGAATTGCTTATGTCAGTTGTATATTCGAAATATTTTTCAATAACTTTCATAATAGGTAATTTATTTTCAAAAATATCAAATTTAATATTTCTTAGTTTATCC